ACCTAGCTCTGGTTTGAATGCAAGGGTAGTAGAAAAGAAAAGAAACATACCTTGACCATCTTGTCCCAGCCGCAGGAGACAATGATGGGGTTGCTGCTGTTGGGGGAGAAGCGCACGCATGACACCCACTCAGAGTGGCCCTCATCCTGCAAATAGATGAGGCGCATAATATAATGTCAGTCACACACCGGGCTCTTTCAGAAAGATAGTCAGAAAGAAAGATAGTTGAGAAAATTGTGACCGAGTGAGCAGCACTTTCCCATTAACTTGAGGAAACGAAAGTGCAGTTTCTCTTTTCACATTTGTCCAGATCAGAGCTCAGAAACAGCCTCTTTATCATCAAATAATACAGTTGGCATTGGAAGTTTCATCACCGCCCTTTGAACTGTCACTTTCAATAAAGGGACCATATACTGCTACTAAGGATGAAATATTTTACCCAAATCTTGACAGTGGCGGCACACAGCCAGTAATAGTTGGGGAAGTTTGTCTTTTCAACTAGTAGGGGCTGCATCGTTTCAACTTCTTATTCAAATTAGAAGTAGGCCCCTTCATTTGTAGCCTAATCCACTGAAATCTAGTTTCACTGATAGAAGACTTTGCGGAAAGTTTACCTGGATGGTGTACTTGCAGACTCCAAGAGTGTTCCACAGCTTGATGGTCTTGTCCCGGGAGCCAGACACAATCTGACGGTTATCCGCAGAAAAGGCCACGCTCAACACATCCTTGGTGTGTCCAACAAATTGGCGGGTGGTGTTGCCACTGAGGAAACATCACAGCAAACATCTTAGAACTCAAAATGTTGCACATTTAAGAAAGACGCACAAAGTAGACGGCAATATTTGAGGTCAAAACTATTCAGAGATTAGCATTAGCAAAAACAGATGCAAGAACTTGGCGGCAATGGCTGTTTATCAACTACTTTCAGCGTTAGTGTTTCTAGTTCCCCTCGTATTTGTAGGTATGCAATCATTGGATATCTTAGGTGCAAATTCTTCCAAAATATCTGTCCACACAACTTAGCTTTGGTTTGAATGCATTTGAATAGTAAAAGGAATGAATTGATGCGAAAAATAGCTCAAATTAACATTTTGACACAAAGCACTTCCTTATTCCTTATGCCAAGCTTTGCTTCCCAAGTTAGGAGTTTTAATACATCTACTTGTCACATGGTTTGATTACCATGACTTTGAAAGGGGTAATTTAGAAATATAAAAAACTAGCTCTGCTTCCTTAACGGTTATAAACAAAGAATTTCATGCAGAAAGGAACCTGCTTTCCAGTTAAACTTTCACCTGGACACAGAAAGAAACCATCCACAGTAAACAGTTTAACACTATTGACCCCCCCCCCCAAAAAAAAACACGTTTCAGTCCCTGCACTCACTTGGTCAGATCCCACAGGCGGAGGCTGCCATCCCAGGCACCGGACAGGGCAAACTGTCCATCTGAGGAGATGACCACATCACTTACAAAGTGAGAGTGGCCCAACAAGGAGCGCTGGGGGATGCCATAGTTGGTTTCATCACGGGTCAGCTTCCACATGATGATGGACTTGTCTGTAAAACAAACGATATACTTTAACTCAGTTTTCATAGTGCAACAGCTGATATTGACATTACCATAACGTGTTAGCATTGTGCAAATGACTTTACAATGCAAGCTGTCAAACATTTACTCAACAGTTGGCAGACTCTACGAAGGTTAGGAGCCGGTTTTGGAAGATTCACACATTTGAGCCTGTATCGACATTTGGTGTGTTATTACACGTGTCGCCGATGTAAAAGTAGGCTGGTTTACAGATGACGCTAGGTGGTGTTAGCTAGTTCGGCTAACCGGCGTATTTATATGTAGAGACGATATTGTTAAGGTAAAATAAAGCTCCCGAACATTGCGTGCATTAGTGGCTGTTCAAGTATTTTCATGTGTCACTCACGGTTATTTTTTCCTTTTTCGTACGTTACAGCGGTAAGTCAACTTGCTGGCTAATGCTAACCTAGCCATGTTGGCAAAGCTGGCGGGGGAAGCCTCACCTCGGGACGCCGACAGAATCATGTCGGGATACTGGGGCGTCGTGGCAATCTGGGTGACCCATCCACTGTGCCCCTTAAGGGTACCCCTCACTGTCATCTGCTCGGTCATTTTGGCGAGTTTCGATGGTGCCTTTTACAAGGATGGAATCGGATTTCTCTGAGGTCCAGAAAAACCTAGGTCCTCATCGCATCTGGGCACAGAGGAAAAGGAAGTTCAGACCCGGATCCAAAACCTATGAGGGGTGAGAATCGCGCAAAGGACTCTGGGATATGTGTACTTTATACTTTTTCCGGTCACAATGACTACAAAAAAAGTAGTGGAAAGCTCCCCCTATCTTTCGTTTTAACAACACGGGTTTCTTTTTTATTTATATTATCGATTACATACCCAAAAACACTTTACATACACACCATTTGTGTTATTAATGCATTGTTAGATACCAGCTTTATGTGGCAAAATGTAACCCATTAGGGAAATAATTCCTATTAAAATGCAAAAGCAATTTAATATCCTTTATATAGTTTGATAATATTCGTCTGCAATATAAATATATAACAATCCCATGAGGGTTAATGAATATACCTTTTCCATCAACTTAATAGTCATAAAACATTGCAGCACAATTTAAAACGTGCTATTATTTAAGATAACATCAAAAACATGACATTCAGAGATGCTGTAAACAATTTAAATGGAGGCCTTTGATCCATTGTTCCCTTCCTCATCAACTGCAAACAATCCTCCTCACATGTTATTTAGTCTTAAGAAACAATGAGCTCATTCAAATGTTACAATGGAGGACAGATGACAATGATTTGTGTAACTGTATTTAGTTTGATAAAATTTGTTGACAAAAGTGGACGCTTCATTGGCATAATGGGTAACACACCAATATCTGTCCTCCTTATGGTTTTAAGAAACATATTTAGAGAGAGGAAACTTTCCACTAGAGATATTATAAATTACTGAAATGCTATTTTAATGTGATGCTTCCAAAGGGTGTCAGTGTTTAACAGCAACCTTAACATTGGTATTGATCAACGCCTTTAGCAGAATGCATCCGATTAACTTCATGGCTACTTTTTCTGGATTATTCTGAATTTAGCATTCGTTATTTCTGAATTCAGTATTAATTTATACTGAACATTTTGATGTAATATCTTATCATTTAGATATTATCATAACATTTAGTACAGACAGATGTTCCCCCACAGGATAATATAAAACATTCAGTCAGTGATGATGCCTCACATTTCCAATAGCGCTACCATGAGGTCAACATTGTAATGCTTTTGGTTTGTGGCCAAATACTTGCAAAACATCTGATACATCAGCCTCACCATAGGTGTAATCTGTGTCTGTATACCGGGTTTGAACAAGTGTATATTTAAAAAGGTTGTTTAACTTTACATTGTTGCTCTCTTTTCTCTGTCAATCATAGTCTAGCAAGAGTCTGAGGAAACCTGCTGTCCCTTAAATGATTCATGCAGTGGATTCATATGATATAGCCTTTCATTATGGTGTGATGGATTATTATTGTAATTTGCATCCTTGTGTTGATATGTTTAAAGGTCCCCTATTATACTGTTTTTCATTACTTTATTATAGGTCTCAGATATATACAAAACATGTCTCTGAAGTGTTTAGCTCGAAATACCAAACCGATCGTGCATTGTAGCATCCCATAAACCCCTCTGTTTCAGCCCTGTTTCAAAAGTGTTGATTCTGTGTCTGTTACTTTAGATGAAAATAAGGAGCCACTCCCAACGCCCCTCAGAGATATCTGGTTAAAAAGAACACAATAGGCGCTTTCACACCGGAGTACTTTTCCCCGTACTTTTCCCAATTAGTTCCGATAGTTCCTGGGATTTTGTGTTCACACCAAAAAGAGAACTTAGTTCATGAGAACTTTCCCCCCCTTTTCAGTCCCTGCTAGAGAGGTGGTACTTTCCTGGGGAGAAAAAAGTTCCAATTTCTGATTGGCTGGGCGATTTGCAAACCACGCCCCGTAAAACTCAGAAAAGTTTGTATTTGCTGGCATTAGCATTATTCGCATTAGCATTATCCCAGCCTACCAACGGAGAGAGACTAACTTATGGCAATACAAAAAAAACATGGGAGCGGTGGAGTGATGAGGAGGTGTCGGCGTTCTGGCGATTTACCCGGCCAGTCCTCAACTCCGGGGACTTCGGGTGGCAGTATACGCCGTGAAGTTGTTTGCAGCCCTCCAGTAAACTCCAAGCAGAAGAAGAAGAAGTGACGTCAGCGGCTTCATTTGCGTAATCTTCCCTCGGGGACTTATTCCGGTGTGAACGCGATCTGCTCTTTAGTTACATGGGGGGACTAAGTGCTGGGAACTAAGTACGGCAAAGTACTTGGTGTCAAAGCGGCTATTGGTGCTCTAGGAGGAGATTCAGGTGATAAGGTGGGGAGTGTTACCTTGGTTGGTTATTGGCTAATGGTTACACAAGCCAAAAAAATGGTTATGACATAAAGTGGCCAAAATCTGATCAGTTCTTTTTCAGACAGGTTTTAACTTTTAATATAAATGGATCAGGACAGAAAGTGAGCAAATCTTTTTTCATGAAACTTTCAGAATCTCTTCACACAGAGTAAACATGTTTATGTGTAAAAGACATGAAAAAGTGGATTTTGCACAATAGGTGACCTTTAAAGGACATACATATATTTAATTTACGGGATATGAGTTCTGTTATTGCTCTTTTTTATAGTACTGTATTAAGTTGTTTCTTTTAATTTTCAATATTTTCAATTGGAAAGCTTATGCTTTTTTTTCCTTCTCTCTGAGCAAAGCAATTTCTTCCTGGATGTTAAAACGCAAGTTACTAATCTAAAAAATTACGTCCCTTTGTGTTATGTCATTACAGTTTTTATAGATGTAATATGGAGTAGGATCGGATAGACATCTAGATGATGTATTAATCCTAAAAGAATGAAACTGAATAATTTTACATGATAATGTTTTATTGGAAGAAACATCATACAACTGGAGATTTACCTTCAGTCTACCTGTTTAGTCGACCAGATTTTATGTTATACATTTTTCAACAAGTAATTACAAAAATAGCTTAATTCTTTTACAACCAAATACACCACCAAAAAACATTCTCACAGTCAAGTTGATACTGTGATATATGACTTGTTAAAACACCAAACTGTATTCAGACACTGTGCCATTTACTGACTCCATTAAGCCTTCCAACTGAAATTGATAGGATCTGCGTAAGAAATAAAAACATATGATTATGTTAAGTGACAGAAAACCTTCAGCTTCCAGTGAAATAATGCTAAGAACTGTGTGGTTTACAGTTAAAATATCCAGCTTTCAATACACATTCTCAAACATTTTGTATATGTCAGCATTTCTATTTTAACTTTATGATATACAACTCATGTACACACTTTGTTTTTTAAAGAAAGGATTTCTAGAATACCTTTAGCCTTAATAAATGACTGCTGCAGCATAGGTTAAATATGTGATGTAATTATCCTTCTTAATAACCCTTCTAAAGTGAAAAGATTTAGTGGGACATTACAACATATGTGTCCCACTGATAAGGAAATTGCCTTGCGTGATGTTGGTAATTCAACTTTACAATTTTCAGGCATACTGCAAGGGAATCTGTGCAAAAATAAACTAAACGTTTAATGTCAAAGAGGATGTCAGAAATAAAAATGTACTCCCTGGATGAAGAAGGATCTGAATCAGCACTCATTGCACTACAATGTGGTTGTGTATTTGAATTAGCAATGTTTAGCAGAATGTACTGTATGATGTTTTTGAATAAAAGTATTAGACCAGTAAAACATTCAGATTATTCATATTCAAATATTTATGCTGTAAATTATTGCTATATTTCATGTCTAGTGCTCAACCAGAATATACATATACAGTATATCTGAATGCCTTTCATGTTGTATCAAAAGGTACAACTAAAATCAATGCAGAAAATACAGATTTCCACTATAAACATAAACACATGTTTCCGCTTATATGTATGGATTTATGTCCAAGTACCAAACAGAACCAAATACTGATTTCATGTAATAACTGTCCTGGATAAATGTAGCCTAATATTTGGAAATGGTACATTAGTCAACCACAAGTACAATTTATTTGTTCCTATGTTCAACATTTCTTTAAGCAAAGCTCAATGTGTAACTGGATATGTGTGTGGATATGGAGCTTTAAATTGGTACAGTAAAGTACTTAAACACTAAGAAAATGTTCCATCTGAGAAAAATGTATTACAAAGACCAAGACACACCATTAAAAGTCATCTGATAGTAAAGAAGACTAAAACTTTTTGTGATAAATGAATTAAAAACAGACACAAAATTCAGTATAACTGACAGTTATAAACAGTTGTCCTAAGATGTACTGCTAAATAAAATGAATAGTTACAAACAACAATGGTGGCGAAAACATTTGATTCAAATTCCTCAAAGTCTGTTAGTCCTTCAGTTCAAATGACTTACATTGATTCAAAAATATCAAAAAAATAATACACATTTAAGTCAGCAGCAAGAACATACATTGTTGTCCAGGTCAAACTGGCAACAGTAATTAAACATGTCTCCATCAGTGATTAAAAGATAACGATCAGTCAAAATGAATCAGTTACACTGAAAATTATTAAGAAAAAATAATAAGATTGGCAATCATTTGTCAAAGCAACTGAAACACTGATTTATCACGAATACTGTTAATGGTTCCTTCAAATCTGGCCTTGACGTTACATTGTTTAAAAAAAAAAAATGGCACCGACAGGAATGCAAAATGTAACTGGACAAAAATAGGTAAGAATATAATGAAACAAAACAAAACACCACACACAAAAGTGTAAGCCATACATTTCTCTGACTTTTCCGAGTGGCCTGTTAAAATGGAAAGATTATTAAAGACTGCTTATTGCAAATCAAAATTAATCTACTGTCGTTGGAGGTTTCAATGAGGGATCACAAGTTATACAAGCTGGATGCTAAACAACACTCTGTCTTGCTATGATCATGCATTTAATAAGTGGAAACCTTAAAAAAGCCAGACACGAAATCACCACAACTTGTTCATGTATCTGTGCAGTAAATCCTTCCTTATGTGCCATTGACGTCAGTGACTCCCAAGTAACTGTGACTGGAAGTCATTGAAGCTATTGTGCAACATTATTAGCCACAGGTGTGTCTTTACTTCTCAGGATGAATGTGGAAATGCAGGTTTCTCTGTCGCTCCCTCCTGGAGACTTTCCATATCAGAGGATCTGAGTGTTCAGGATGACACTGAGGCATCGCTCTGCTTCATAAAGGCCAGTGTGCCCCTTGTGTGCTCTCTGCCTGTATACGTGTCCTTTCTCCACCAGGCCCGCACCGCTTCAGGGCTGAGAGAGACGCTTGCGTTTGAGCTTCTGTTTCGCCATTTTCTCCTTTTTTGAAAACAGAGAGAGAGGAGAGTACTGACCCATATCTGTTACTCCCAAAGAGATCTGTCCATCCATCCATACATCCGTGAGAGTGGGTGAGTGCACACACCGTACAGCGTTCATGATTACAATCAGGCAGCAAGTCAGGCTTTGTTAGTAAGGCCACTAGACTGTCAAGGCACTTCATCTCTGTCCTCTGGACTGTCCTTCAAAGTAAGAGTCTGACTGACAGTTCAGTTTCTTCTCTTCAAAACTATAGTTGCATTCTCAACACGGGACCTCTAGAGTTTAAAAAAAAAAAGTTTTCATAATACTATAGACTCAGAAATGTCCTTGTTAAAAAAATCTCAATATATTATATGAAACGTTTTAGAAAAAAAAAAAAAATGGGAAAAAAGGGAGCGGGTTGTAGTTGTAATTGCAATATATACCATATCAATATGTACAGATTCCATGCTGCTGGTTAGTCATCACTGCAAAAGAAGAATAGTTGAGATCATATTAAAATCCACACATAGTTATTAATTAAAAGCACTCATGCTCTATACTTACAAAATGCCCCTGTATCAAATCAGAGTCGAGCAATTAATTTCATTCTGACAATCTATGAGTAATATTATTGTTGTACATTGTTATATTTTTTACTATTTCCTAACTATGTCAGCTGGTGTCTCATAATACAAAGCAAACCATTAATTAATTATTTACTTAACTACTTAAGTAAACACTATGCTTAAAATAAAAGTTAGATCTCTTGACCCTCACCTTGTGCCAGCAGCCTGGTATGGGCAGCCCGTCCTGTCCCTGGAAAGAGAACAGCAGGGGAATGTTACCAAGCAAGACAAATCATGTGATGCCTTCTTTAACACACCTTACAGACCTGCAGATTCAAATATCAGAGACAATTGTAATAATGTATAATGTGTGAACTCCCTTTCAGCAAACTGAATAAAAGAAACCAAAGGTGGAAGATGAGCTATCAAATTCATAAAGACAAATTCTAAGCAAAAGAGAATTAACTCAGTGTTTTTCCTATAGTGTAAAGTCTGAAGAAGGAACTTTTTGGATTACATTCTAATCAAGTCAATTCTTAGTAGCCTTATAGTATGTGGAGCATTTTGGATAAGATAATTATATGTCTTTTAAATGCAGGCGTACAACCAGCAGCTGGTTAGCTAAGACTAGCATATAGACTGTAAACAGAAGGGAACAGCCGACCTAGCACCTAAACATGATAACATGTCAAATGTGTAACTAAAACAAACTGCCTTGTAATTTATCAGGCGGTTTTGAAAGTGTTATAGGTGCTCAAATCTAACTCTACATCAGAAAGCTAAGCAAATGTTAGTACACCTGCGTTATTTGGCCAGTTAAAATAATGTTTGATTTTTGTAACCTAGCATCTTCCATCTCTTCATTTCACAAATCAGACGCACAATGTCCGACCAAATAGATAGAATAGAAATATCCAGTATAGACATGTATAACCAGTGGTGTATTGGGGAATTTTTTACTGGGTGGACGAGGTGGTGGGTGGACGGGAGACACTATGGACGCGCTCGTGAACTGTCAATATCCATTAATTTCCCCAACATTATGGTAAAAAAAAACAGATATAATAGAAATATCCAGTATAGACATGTATAACCAGTGGTGTATTGGGGAATTTTTTACTGGGTGGACGAGGTGGTGGGTGGACGGGAGACACTATGGACGCGCTCGTGAACTGTCAACGGGGGGGGGCGCTTGGGGACCTCTGTGTCGCCTGTCAGCGCAACTTACATGATGCCGTTTAGACAATATAATAATAAAGGGCGGTGCCGGCTGTCAGCGAACCGATCCGGCCTTTCTGCGCGACTATCACTCAAATGCGGGACATAGTCTCAATGTGTGGGACGCGGGACAAATAATAAAAATGCTGTTTGTGCAGTCCCGCACAGTGCGGGACACCTGGTCACCCTACACACACAGTTCTGCCCCTCACACACACACGCTTCAAATCAAGTTGCATAAATGCTTGAGCTACGTTTTTATTATAATTACTGTGAAATCTGCCTATTATGTTTTCGTCATTATTACAACAAACACACACTTGCAACTGATAACACTGGCAATGCTTTTAGATGTATTAGACTATTAAAAAAAGAAATCATGCTTCAAATAAGTGGGGGTACGGCGTACCCCCGCGTCCAACGCCACTACACCACTGTGTATAACAGAGTTTGACAGATAAAAAGACAGGAAACAAAGTGCTTTAACAGAAAATAGCAACAGAAGATGTATACATAGGGATGCAGAAGGAGGAGAAAAGGAGGCAGAGGTACTGTACCACAGGACAGGGGGCCTCAGGGCCAGAAGGAGGAGGAGGTGGAGGGGGAGAAAGCCCTGCCTCCTCAGAAACACCTTTAGTCTCACCACAACCCTGTCAGCAAGAGCCAGTCACACATTCACAGCATTGAGGAGGAAACTCAGAGAAACACAAGTGACAGAAACAGTGCTGAGAGAGTAGAAAGGGAAATACTGTTCAAAGTGAGAGGAAAGTTGAGTTAATGAATTCATTAATATGAGGAGTATTACAGTGTGTGTGTGTGTGTGTGTGTGTGTATATGTGGAGGTGACATACCACAGGACAAGGCTGGTCCAGGCCTGGAGGACCCTGCTCTCCCTTGTGGCCCTTTAGTCCTCTCTTTCCCACTGATCCCCTGTCACCCTGTGCAGAAAAAAACAATATTGAATAGAGTGTTTTTTGATGAAGATAATGATGAAATGTTTTTGTTTCGGCAGTCTGTACAAACCTTGTCTCCTCTTTCCCCTCGATCACCCTTGTCTCCCATCAGACCTGGGAAACCCTGGACAAAGAAGCACAAATAGGTCAGGAGAAAGCAGATCACTTGACACACTTTAAAGTAAATTAAAAATGTCAAGATAGAAATACCAAAAGAAGAACTCACATCTAGTCCAGGCTCCCCTGTTCTGCCCTGTGAACACAGACCGACACATTTAATCATGATGTATGTTTAATGGAAGACAGTGAAAATATTTAGTAAACACATTGTGGAGGTGATCGGGTGCTTACTTTTTCTCCTTTTGAACCTGGGAGGCCCACTAACCCTGTAGACCACTAGCCCATGGGACCATCTAATCCCTGCAGGTAAAGGCAAGTATTATCACTGTATCATGTCCATGTATGTTTCTTTAGCTTAAAACAGGGGTGTCAAACTCAATTTCACCTCGGGCCACGTTAGCATCATGATTGCACTCAAAGGGCCAGTTTTATATACAAGAATATAAAAAATACATATATAAAAATGTAATATATATAAAATAATGTATTATATTACATTATTGCCTCTGCATTGGATTATTATCGGATAGAGTAACTTAATAAGTCTCTTCAGTGAGAATGTATCCCTACGTCTGTCCTCGCTTTTTCCTCGTCTCCATGACCATGTGTCCTGTCCCCCGACGTCGCCGTCTTCCCCTCCTCCTCCTCTCCACCTCCCCTCTTTCGGGACGTAGGAGTCTTTGTGGAAATCAGAGTGGTGTTGGGACAGTCGTTCTCGGTCAGTGTGTAAGTGTCGTAACTCCTCCTTTGAGTCTCTTTGTGTTCACTGTCTTTGTCACGACTCTCTCATCTTTCCCTTTATGACAAGTTTCACTCTCCTTTCAACTCAATTACTTAAGTAATTATACTCCTCATAATGTCACACACACACACACACACACACACATATACACCTCCACTGTATGGTGTCCTGTTCCGACCAGGTCCGGACCTCCTGGGACGAGAGGGAACACCGGGAAATCAGGAGAGAAAGGGTGACTAGGGGACAGTGGGACACGTCTTTTTTTGTTATAACTTATCTCACAAAAAACTACTTCTATTACTACTTTACAAAAACAAAGCCGTCAGACATGTTTGGAACAGAGGAGAAAGGGGAGCTAGTGGGAACAGAGGGTAGTCTGGACCCTTTGGGACCTGTTTCTTCGTGTTTATCCAGTCCTCTTTCGTCTAGTGAACTGTGTGAAATTTCATTTAATTTTTACAGTTCTATCTTTATGGTTTTCTTCTTGAGTGTAGATCAGGTCCGAGGGGACAAGACGGGACACTTGTGTCTGGCTGTGTAAATTAGTACTACATACAAATTACCTTCTGTCACTTTTATAAATCATTTGTGTAACACCTCCACTAGCCCACGAATGAAAAAGAGGAAAACTTGGACCCTCCGGGTGATTGGGACATCTGGTGATCGGGTACCCTGGTAGATTAGGGACGTCCATTTCCGTTCATAATAGTGACATAGTACAGGTACATACAAAGAAATCGAATTTTGTCCCCACAGTTTGAGTTAAAGTGGAGCCCGGTGCAATCGTAGTACTAACGTGAGTTTCCCGGTCAAAATATATGTTCTTATATTTTTTATGTATATATTTTTACATTATATATATTTTATTACATAATATAATGTAATAACGGAGACGTAACCTAATAATAGCCTATCTCATTGAATTATTCAGAGAAGTCACTCTTACAGGTTTTTTAACTAAAATTTTCTTTTCGGTTTAAGACCTTTTTTAGTTTTAGGGGGGTTTTTTTACTGTAAACTTTTTTTGTAGTCTAAAGACTCTTTCCGTTTAAGATTCTTTTTACTTATAAAAACTTCTTTTTTTCATTTTAAGACTCTTGTTCACCTTTAAACTCTCCCGGTAACACCGGATGTACACTCCAAATACCCGTTGCACGAAACACTTAGCGTACATTGGAATATTATTTGACACATTAAGTAAAATACACCGGGTGTTCTCGAACGTTTCTTATATTAAGTGTCAAATAATATTCCAAAATGTACGGGCTAAAGTGTCTTCGTGCAAACGGGTATTTGATGTACATTCGGTGTTACGGGGGAGTTTAAGTCGAACAAAGAGCTTAATGAAAAAGAGTTTTAATTAAGTAAAAAGAAATCTTAAACGGGAAAAAGAGTCTTAGACTACCAAAAAAAGGTTTTTACAGTAAAAAAACCCCCCTAAAACTGAAAAAAAGGTCTTAACCGAAAAGAAAATT